TTAGATATAATGTAACTGTGTAAAACGGGCACCTGGCCTACGCGGCTGCGACACACCATATTTTAACACACATCCCCTATACCACTCTAAACGATAACACCTGTCTTTGACGGCCACCTGAGTGACTCCATTACGTTTTGTCATAAATTATGCTTTGGCCCCTGGGGTTCTGGGTGAGCCGTCGTAATCCAATCACCTGTTGTTGTTATTGTTAGGTAGTCCCCCCAACTGATCATGTAGCGTAGGCCCCTCCCCCTGTTGACCAATAGGTAACAAAATTTCTGCTGCTGGTGAGGAAAGCGTGTGATCCCTCATAACCCATAAGCCCCAACCAGTACTCATACACAAATCGTAAGTGAGATGAGTGGTCACTGTTTACCCGGTCTGTAGCAAAGTAACAATGGACGTCAACATGAACTTGTGACAGAAGCGTCGCTCGTTTTCCGAGTGGTGGCGACCCATGCGTTTGTTTTACTATAGCACTCGCCCCTCTTTGACTGACACATTTCGTGTAATTTTCACCCTTGTACAAAAGCAGAAAGAAAAGAAAAAACATTTTTAAAAAACACAGCAAAAACAACAACAACAACAATAACAGCAACAACAACAACAATAACAGCAACAACAACAACAATAACAACAATAACAACAACAACAACATCAATAACAGCAACAACAACAATGCGGCTGCTTTCGGTTGGGACCTAAAAAAAGAATGGTTTGGTTTCTTCATCTTGATCAGTCCTGCCTAAGACGGCCACTTGTCTTATATGGCCACTTTTCTCCTTTACAATGGGTGGCCGTCTTACACAGGTTCGACTATAGTTTAAAAAGGAGATAACTCTTATGGTGGGAACACAGAAAGGCCTGGGTAAGAAATACATTCTTTCGTGCGCCTCACATACAATACCACACGAACCCGGATGTTTGGTGTAAACGAGCCGTAAGTAAGACGTTGTGGTATATCGCCTCTTTTGTACGACATTTCTTGTCAATGTGCACTGGAGATCTATGACCTTGTCTCGCTTTGCTGGGCCGTTAGACTGAGCATGGTACGCTTTCCCGCGAAAAGTAAACTGGGACATTTCGAAGAAAGCTTTTCACACGTCAAACTCTGAGTCAGAGAAGACACCTTCGTGTATGGTGGTCTAGGTGGAGGCTAATCCCTTCTTAAGCTGTTATTTCTTTTTTTTTAAAATAAATGTTACTGGCATTCGCGCTGTATCAGATCGAGAAAGAGTAACAGCACACCTCTTCCTGGTGTGTTAAAAGCAGAAAGGCGGGTAAATCTCTGGCAGTTTTTCAGTGGAGCTTCATTCGAACACGTCTTAGCTGTTGTTTTTATTTCTAACGTATAATTGTAGACGTATCCAACCTTATCAAGCTGACTATCTTGTTTTTAAAAAAGTGTTTATTCTACAACCTCGTAATTAGTAACAAATCCAGTGCCAGTACAACTTCTTAGGGGCGTTTTTGGTTCAACCAGTTGTTGTTGTTGTTGTTGTTGTTGTTGTTGTTGTTGTTGTTGTTTTTTGTGAGGTTTTTTACAGCTTTGCATTTTACTAGTAGCAGCAGTTGGCTCCAGCGCCTTGTTCCTCCGGACACTTCTGGTAAGCTCAATCCAAAGTTGTTGTTTCTCTGGTTCTCTTTGATTTTTTGTTTTAGTAGAGGTTTTACGGCGCTTGCAACTGCATAAGGTCAAATGAGCGCCAGAAGATTAGAGGTGTTACAAGAGAGTAACAAACATAAAAAGAAGGAGGGGAGATAAGGACGATAGATGTCTGATAGGAAAGAAGAAGCAAACCACACTAGAGCACCCGGTTCTCTGTTATCTAACTAATGCACTGATCTAATGTTAGACATATATTGACAGCTATCATAAGGGACTCGTTTATTTGATTTGGACTTCGTATTACTAGGGAAATCGCGTATGTATAGTGCCATATTAGCATAAATTGAATTGTTGTTGATATATTCCTTTGGGGGTTTTCCTCGGGCAGATGAGACATTGATTGAAGCGCTTAATGTGACTTCTTTTGTGTATGCCAATGATATTAATATCTCTGCCACAGAAAAACATTCAGTTTTGATTCATTCTGCGAAAACAGTTATAGGCAGATTATCATACTATTGTATAAATAATCGTTGCCATAAATCTGTGCTTTGCACCTTATGAATAAATTAAAGCTTAATCGTAGCTCGAAGTAGGCCTTTATCATTTTTTTAAAAGCAATTCGTTTTCAGGGGGCTCTCGTGGCCTAGAGGTTAAGGTGTTGGCCTCTCATTCAAAGGTCCCGGGTTCGAATCCGGGTAGCGACCGAAAAAAATTTGTCTCTATATTTGTCTCCTTTCACCTCCTTTCCTGCTCTTTAGCAATGTTCTGTTGTCTGCTTTCGTTTCCACTTTCTGCCCCCTCCCCATCACCTCCTT